TATTTTACATTTATATCCTAGAAACTTAAAGCTAGAGTCTAACCAAGAGAGGCCAGGAGAACATTATTTATCGATATAACAAATAAAGCGACCATCGTTTACTCATTGGACAAGTAAGTAGCTGCACACAATTTGCCCAGCATGTTGCTGAGTGTAAAAACGGTGTACAGAATAGAGTTACAGGGTTGTCTGCCCTTGTAGGAGCTTGAGGATGTATGGGAGAGAGAGACAACTAACATACATGTGCAAGGCACATGAAATGTTAATATATTAAACAAAAAGACCTTTTTTCGCTTCAAGATTTCTAGAGAAGTAGGTATGATTTAAGGCAAATGTCACTGAGGAGGTTCAGAAGCCCTCACAGATGATCCCTTGAGTTAAAAACCCTATAGGATTCAACCTCCTTCAAAACCCCAAGCTAGTCCTGGCTTTTTGCATCCATAAATATTAAGCATCTACTGTGGGCCAGGAAACTTAACAAATACACTTAACTCCTAATCTTTATGACTAGCCTTTGAAGCAGGTGTTAGGATGAAGTTCCTCATACTCAGAAAGATTGAATAATTTGCCCACTGACCATACAGAGAAGCTTGGGAAGCTTCAGAGGAATTTACAGGAGTCTAGGCATGGAAGATGAATAAGAACTGGATAGGCAGAAGTGGGCAGGAACAGCATTCCAAGCAGAGAGAATACCATGTGCAGTTGGCATATGCCCACCTCCAAACATCTCCTATTGCACTCTACTTTTACTCTTACATATTTTCTCTAAGTTTGGCATAAAACCCTTTCTTTCCCAAATGTTTACCTTAATAACTCCAGTCCTTAGTGATTTTACTTTATTACTCTTGGGATGATCTGCCCCCAATTCTGAGAAGTTCTGTTCATCCTTCAAGGCCAATGTGACTTTCTCTGGGAAGCTTCTCTGACTTGCAGACTTGGTGGGCTCTCACTATCCTGCAGCGATGTTAATAGTTCTTGGGGTGCTCTCAGTGTATTTATTCTCTTCTAATTATCTATCCAATGGGTTACCACCTCCACAAAAACCGTGAGTTCTTCTGGAGTCAAGAATTTTCGGAAGCAGTATAATGGTTACATCAGTTGGTTCAAAGTTAAATTACTTTGGTTCAAATCTTGTCTCCACTACAATTCCTTCAAGTTATTTGACCCTGGGCCAGTTTAACCTTTGTAACTCTTAATTTACCCGTTGGAAAAACCTACTTGTACAATTGTTGTGAAGACTAAATGAGATGATCCATCAAAAGTGGTTAGCAAAGGACTGGCATATTAGTGCTTATTAATTAAATTTGAGCTATGACTGCTTACTTATCTGGGTTTCCTAATACTTACACGATGCTTGGCTTTAGAGTGGGTGCTATAATAGCTAGTGTTGCTAGCTGGTTTCATTTTCATCTGATAGCTAGAGATAAGCCACTTTAAGGCAGCAATTTTTTTTTTAATATATGTCTTTATTGATTTCAGAGAGGAAGGGAGATAGAGAGATAAAAACATCAATGATAAGAATCATTGATCAGCTGCCTCCTGCATGCCCCCCCTCTGGGGATTGAGCCCACAACCCGGGCATGTGCCTTTGGCTGGAATCAAACCTGGGACCCTTCAGTCCACAGACCAATGCTCTATTCACTGAGCTGAGCCAAACCATCTAGAGCAGCAATTTCTCCCTCACTCTCTCTCTCTCTCTCTCTCTCTTTCGGAAATACACAAAACTTACTACATACAGTTCCAGGTATATTTTACAGTCTACTGAATATTCTTTAAATTGATTCTCGCTATTTCATTCACACCCATCAGCATCCTCCTAGATCTTCATAAGCTTCTAAAGACAAGCTAGCCGTTGGTGTGGCTCAGTGGTTGAGCTTGGACCTGTGAACCAGGAGGTCACAGTGGATTCCTAGTCAGGTGTGCTCCATTCCTGGTGTGATGCGTGCAGGAGGCAGCCAATCAATGATTCTTTCTCATCATTGATGTTTCTATCTCTCCTTTTCTCTCTCTGAAATCAATAAAAATATACTTAAAAAAAAAAAGATTCCAAAGCCAAAATAATGCCAAATTTGTTTGCGAAGCCCTTTTCTTTCCTGGTTTCTCTTTCCTGTCTCTAGTCTTGTTTTATTTCCTCCATATTGGAATGAGCGCAGAGACCAAATTCAAGTCATTACTTGACAGAGTTTAAAATTCAGAAAAATATGCTTTAAGAAAAGTTAATACTTTGTGTTCCTTTACAGTAATAAAATGACCATTAGCAATTTTCAATACTATTGATTAAGAATGAGGAGAGTATCTTTATACAGTCTTTGCTTTTCTGTGGCTTTGCTTTCCATGGTTTCAGTTACACTTGGTCAAGCATGGTCTGAAAATATAAAATGGAAAATTTCAGAAATAAACAATACATAACTTTGAAATTGCACGCCGGAGCAGTGGAGAAATCTCCCATCATCCCTCTCCTCCGATCTGGAAGTGATTCATCCCTCTCCTCCGATCTGGAAGTGATTCAGCCCAGCGTCCCCAGGCTGTGCACACTCCCACCCACTGTCCCTTAGTAGCCGCCCTGGTGATCAGATTGGCTGTTGTGGAATCTCAGTGCTCACATATCCTGGTTTTACTTAATAATGGCCCAAGAGTGCAGGAGTGTCCATGCTGGCAATTCAGACATGCCAAAGAGAAGTTGCCAAGTGCTTCTTTTAAGTGAAAAGGTGAATGATTTCAAGAAGGAAAAGGGGGACTGCTGTAACTGAGAAAGGAGGTAGAGTTCATTGACACTGTAGAGTTCACAGAGATTGTAGAGTTCATGGAAGTTGCAGGAGGGGAGTGGTTTTATTTTATCGTGTTGTTTCCTGAGGCAAGATAAAAAAGAACCAACATCCGATTTGAAAGAACTTGAAAATATGTCCTAGCTCGATGTCTCCAGGATTATTCTCCCTGTAGCTCTCACAGAGCAGCCACAAAATAGAATTTATATCCAACATAAACATATATTACTAGAAGAGGCTCTTCAATGTATTATGTGTTCAGAAAAGCATTTCTAACTTTCTCCCTGGAGAAAAATATCATCAAAATACAAGCAAGTTTCCTGTCATAATAACGTTCAGAAAGCATTCCATTATCCCAAATTGTTATTTCCAATCTTGATAATCTCCTTCCAACACTTTTTCTAATAGAGGATAAATTTCTGTTTTTTTCCCCTCAATACATATTTGTCCCTATAGACATCTTATTAATGAATTTATTATATTAATGCAATGCAAGAAGTTAATATAAAAGTTGTTCTACACTGTTAAGTGGGCCAGTCTGCATGTTTAGAGATGAAAAATTTCTGGAAATTCCCTTGCTTACTTTCACTTCGGATATCTCCCTCAATGTAGCTTCTTTTCTTACAGCATATTTTAAATGATATACTCTTTAAACGTTTACACAATACAATAGTTATGAACAAATTATTTAATCTTAGTTGGGAATCCTAGAATGCAAAGTGATACAGAGTTTTTTAAAGCTCTGCACAATGAATAAAATAATTGAGGTTCACCATAGATACAGAGTTCTAAAATACCCTACCCTTACTTTTTAAAAAAATGTTCAATTACATTTTAATTTTAGCTATTCCAATTGTGAAAAATATCAAGTCAGATGGAAGAAAATGATAGCATATTCTACATACAGGGAATAACATAGTTTCACACAGTTCTGAGCCAACACCAAGAATTTTGTATAATATAGAAATAATAGCAATATCTTAAAATTTTTCTACAGTATTTTTATTAGCATCAAAACAGTCCTACTGAATCATAGAAACTAAACTTGGTCACAAGAAGCTTACTCTTTTTCTCAGCTATACTTAGATTAGAATGCAGGTCCTTAAATGTCAAGGCCAACCATGAAAAACATTAACTGCTAAGGTTGTTTAAACTAAGGGAGGTACAACTGTAATGATAAGCTTTACAGCCAATTATTGTAGTGATCTCAAATTCTATTCAAAGCAGGCACCTATCTTTAGTTTACTCCCGAACTGCCCTGGATAAAACTTGTTCAATCGGTTAGTATTTCCATTATGCACTTTAATGGCATAGGATAAGATTCAATGCTTGTTTTGAAAAAACTTGAAGTAGTATAACAACAAGGAAATTAAAAACTCTAGTAACAGCAGCTCCCATATATTTTGTGCTGAGCACTAAACCCAGAAACAAGTTAGACTGAAAATAATGTTGTTTTCTTTCTTTTTAATGTTGTTGTTTTAATAGCAGGATTAAAATAATCGTTTTATAGGTCTCTCCGTAAACTTCCTTTTTGTCAAGGATATTCTGCTTCAGGCCTTGAGTCGCTTCCAAATTCCTATAGACAATATTTAAATAGGAAGAAGAAAAAAAAAAACATAGAACGAAGCGAAAGAGAAATACTGGGAAAGCATTTAAAAAATTGAATACACAGACGGAACAGCACCGATATGTCATCCAATATTTAAGAATAAAGGGTAGAACCGAAACTGGTGTGGCTCAGTGGATAGAGCATCAGCCTGCGGACTGAAAGGTCCCAGGTTCGATTCTGGTCAAGGGTATGTACCTTGGTTTCGGGCACATCCCCGGTAGGGGGTGTGCAAGAGGCAGCTGATCGATGACTCTCTCATCGATGTTTCTAACTCTCTATCCTTCTCCCTTCCTCTCTGTAAAAAATCAATAAAATATATTTTTTTAAAAAAAGAAAGAAAATAAAAGAATAAAGGGTAGAGACCCCAGGGCAGATCCCAAGGATAGGAAGTGAAGGAATGCACAGAAAACACGTTAAAAAGGAAGAAAAGATGTGGGGCGGGGCGGAGATGTGAAGGAGGGAGGAGGAGGAGGAGGAAGCAGGTGGACTGGAGACCGGGGCGCACACAGGTGTGCGGGGAGGTCACTGCAGGCCCCGCCCCTGCCCCGCCCCGCCCTCAGGCCCCGCCCCCCGCCGGCGGCGGCGGCTGCGTCGGCCGAGCGCCCGGAAGCAGCGGGGCTGACGAGCGCGGCGGCGGCGGCCGGGGGCGGGGCGGACCGCGGAGCCTCAGCCTGTCCGGCCCCCGGCGCGGCCTCATGCGGCGCCAGGGCTGACACCTGCAGTCCCCCGATCCCCGGCCCCGGGGCACCGCCGCCCGCGGCGGTCGAAGTCCTGGGGGAGCGGGCCCGCGGCGGCTGCCCATGGAGAAGGCCGCGCGGGGCTGCGATGGCGCCCCGCGGGGGCCCGTTCTGCACATCGTGGTGGTCGGCTTCCACCACAAGAAGGGCTGCCAGGTGAGGAAGGGGCCCGATCGCCCCCCTAACCCCTACCCTTACCCCCTTCCCGGCCGGCCGGGCGTCCGGTCGCCGGCAGCGCCCATCCCCTCCGCCCCGTCCTCCCTGCGGCGCCCTCGGTCCTTCTTCGCCGCCGAGCTCGTCCCCTCCTGGAGCCGGCCCCGCGCTCCCCGCTTCCTCCTCCTGCCCCGGGCCATGCACTGGGCGGCGGGGAGCGGTGTGGTGGTGTGTTGGGGTCGGGAGGTGTCTGGGTTCTTTGGTGGAGCGGGAGGAAGGAAGGGAAGGTCCGCCCCGCTCCCCACCCCCCCATTCTCCTCCCCCGTCCCTCTCGGCCGCCGTTGGCTTTCGGGGTGCCGCCCAGGGCGGGAACCGCCGGAGGAGCCAGCGCCTGGGCCGCGTCGGGAAGGTGTCGCCTCGGGTCGCTGGAGGCACCTGCCGCGGGGACAAAGCCACTTCCTTTGTTGATCTGGGAAGCCCTGGGCTCGGCGCCCGGAGGTGCCCGGCCCCGCCCCGCCTCCCCATTGGGCCGCGGTCCGGCTGTGTGATCGCGGCCAGCTCCTCCCGGCAGGTGAGCGCCGGACCTCCCCGGCTCAAGTGCAATGAAAGGAGCGTACGCACCGAGCCAGGAAACGGGCCAATGCAAAGCCTTTTTTATTTATTTATTTTTATTTTTATTTTTTATTGTTTATTGTATCACATAATTGTCCTCATCCCCCCATTCCCATCCCAAACCCCTCCCTACATATGTCCCCACCCCTTTTGTCCATGGCCACTGGCTAGGCCCATATGCATGCACACAGGTCCTTTGGTTGATCTCTTCCTTTTACCCCCACCCTCCCCTACTTTCCCTCTGAGGTTTGAGAGTCTGATAGGTGCTTCTCTTTCTCTGGATCTGTTTTTGTTCATCGGTTTATGTTGTTCATTATTTCTGCAAAGCCATTTTCTTAAGCTCCTTCGCGGAATGGTAAAGGGGACGATGGCACGTCTGCAGTCGCTGCGTTGAAGGCCAGGGAACAAGATAGAAGCCGGGCTAGAGAAGGAGCGCAGACCCTGGAAGGCAGTGATGTCACAATGTCCTGGCGAATAGGAAATGGAAATGTGTGTAAACTATCAAACATGCTCATTGCAGCTGCCACCGGGCAGTGTGGCATTTTCTTTCTTGTATTGTCATTTCAGAAGACGTCAGTGGGCACAATTGAAGTTCGTTAGAAGGATGATAATGGGGGTGGGGGGAATGTTGGAGGAGATGGTTGTGTTTGTGTTTTAAAGATTGCTTGCCATTCCTTGTCCCTCGGTGGGAATGGCTTAGAGAGAGACCCCGGAGGAAGGGGCGTTATTCGGTGCTGTATCTGGAACATTCCAAGCGGCCGTACATTATAAGGTTGTAAAATGTGACCCAATATTTACAGGTGGAGAGAATGGATAGTTGAGTCTGCACCATGGCGTGCAAAAGTGTTCATCATCATCAGGTCTGTAAACTTCGCAGCTTTGATCTCATCACTTTATGACTTCCTTTGGCTGTGGGTGCGGAAACTGAAGCTTGGAGGCAGTGAGATGACCTGGCTGAGGTCACACTGCAGGACAGCCCCGGAGGCGGACGTACCATCGCTCTGGCACCTCCTGAGTGCGTTCTGGGGAGCCAGGTGGCACTTGGGAGTCTCTCGGGGTACAGTAAGAAGTGGCAGCCCCGCTTCAGAACCGATTTGTTTTCAAGACAAAAAAGAAGGAACTATTGGTAGGAGATACAATAAAATCTTTTCATTTTTGCTGTCTTCTAAAGTCGAGATTCATTATTAGGTCGTAGATCTGTTTTACGGGCAAAAGTAACATAATTTTTATTTTCAGAGAGAAAAAAATGACTTCATTTTCAATGTGTTTTTGTTGTTTTCAGAGAGGAAGGGAGAGGAAGAGAGAGAAATCGTTGATCGGCTACCTCTTGTATAACCCACACAGGGCTTAAGCCCGCATCCCCGGCAATTGCCCTGACCTGGGGTCATCCTGGTTCATAGGCCGCCGCTCAAGCACTGACCCCCACCCGCCAGGACTGCCTTACTTTAGAAAAGCAAACGCAGTGCTGCTCGCTGCCGGGAGATTAAAGACAACCGTACGACAGATTGTGAGGTGCGAGAGGCACTTCGGGCCGAAGTCTCGCCCTGGCATTTCTGTGATGTGTCTGGTTTGGGGTGTCAGCGCTGAGGTTTACCATGGGAGCCAGGATGTGCTGGCCTCATAGCTCCCAGACCTCCAGCGAGTCCAAACTGCTGGGTTTTTTTCTGAACCTTGTTTCCTTTGGAGGAGTTCAGACCTGGCAGGGATCCTCAGAGATCACCTACTCCATCCCTCTTACACTTACAGGTGAGTCAGCTGGAACCCAGAAAGGTTAAGTGACTCACATACTTACAGCTAATTTGGTGCTATCAGGAGAACCAGAGCCGGACCCTAGTGAAAAGCAGTAGAACCAGATTTTATTCAGAAAAGCTGTTGAAGGAGGGGAAAAAGAGATCTCACTATAGAACGAGGCTCCATCCTGAATGCAGTAGGGAACATTGGGAGTTGATAGGCCAGGAGCAGATGGGGGGTCGGTGAATGGGAATTGACTATATCAGCGGTGGAGGCGGGTTTCTGGCTGAACCAAACGGGCTTCTTGCTAAAATCAGACAGTGCAGAGACAAGAATCAGCCTGTCCGGTGTTTCAGAGCGGCCAGTTGTGTAAGACTTCCCTCGGGATGTACTCCTCCACTACCTCCTCCTTCGTTTGAAGACGACTGTCCTTTCAGGTGCGGGGCCCAGCGTGCGTGGTCACTGGCCTGTGACTCTGACTCCAGACAGCGGGAGGATGCCCTGTTAGGCTGGCCTTCCCCTGTGCAGATGCTGCAGGTCATGCTGATCACCAGTTCTTTCCGTGCGCCGAGATTATTCATCGCGAAAATTCCCATACTTGGGTGTCATTTGCCATTTTTAGATCAAGGGGAACCAAAGTGAAGCCTTTGTGTAAATAAGTGGCTGGCAGCAGTCTGCAGGGCTAATTAAGCATGATGCTTTTGCGTAGGCTGTCCTGTTAAAAAGCTGCTCTAGAGCTTCTGCCCTGATACAGGAGGGAGGTCCACTCACATGGACCACAAGGTTAAAGCTCTCTTCCAGTCCAGCCGTGCTAAAGACCCCCAAAATAGGCATGTGGACAGATGTGCCATTATCTTGTCTCCCAACTTTTTTTCATCTTTGAGGCCTTTAAATATTTTTAAGTGAAAAACATTTTAATGAAAAATTCCTCCATTTAAATGAAAGTGAACATCTACTAATTTTATCACTTGGCCATTTTTTTTTTTTTCACGCTTATTGGGATAATTTGTGGGAGTGAATCCTTTCGTAGATAATATTCATTTCTAGTGGTGATAATTCTAGTTGATGGCTAGACTTAACATTTAGAACACTTTTTTTTTTAAGTGAGTGAAAGTACTACCAAGACATGTAAAATAGTTTTGAGGTATTTATCTATTCCCATTCTTTCCCTGAAATTTTTAAAAACTGAGTATTTAGCTACGGACCCTTCTTCCTTAAAAACTCATCTGAAATTAGTCTTTGACATGATATAATTGATGGGCTTTTCCTCTATAGTAGCTTGCTTGTTATAGATTGTGTGTTTCAGAGTTTCATTTGTTCCTTGTGTGCTTTGTGGTACTAAATAATATAAACTGTATGTGTCAGATTATTTTTTGGCAAAATAATATAATCAAATGTTTATCAATTAAACCTTTCGGTTCTTTCATAGATTGGACCTTTTTTAAAAACACTCAAATTAATAGGGAATAGTTATTTTCCAAAGTGATGATGTCTAAAAAGTTGGAAGTACTACTTGATTTTTTTTTTTAATATATTTATTGATTTTACACAGAGAGGAATTGAGAGGGACAGAGTGTTAGAAATGTCGATGAGAGAGAAACATCGACCAGCTGCCTCTTGCACACCCCCCACTGGGGATGTGCCTGCAACCAAGGTACATGCCCTTGACCGGAATCGAACCCGGAACCTTTCAGTCCGCAGGCCGACGCTGTATCCACTGAGCCAAACCGGTCCCGGCACTACTTGATTTTTTGACCACTGTTCTGATTTTGTTCCGTTCGTGGTTTTGTGTACATGGCTAGACACTTTAATGCTTGAATAAGCTGGTCTTACCAGATGGTATGTCTTAAAAAAGTAGAATTATGAAAGTCCTGGAACTCCTGTTGACACCATTTCCAACGGTGAGTAAAGCAAGTAGAATGAGGGAGAGAACAACATATTTTCCTGGTGGTCTGAGTGGTCCCATCCCGGGAACATCCTGGATAACAGGATGTTGTGCTACAAACTCGGGATGGGTTGTGGAGATGGGTGGGGGAGGTTGTGTTAGGGTGATATTGGCAAGCTCCGACCCATTGGTTTTGGTGACAGATGGCTGGCTGACGCAGGGAGTTTTGGCGCCCGCTGTGGATGAAATCCTGTGGTGACGATGATGAAACACTAAGGAGGTGTCCTTTGTGGTTCTTGTTGGAATAAGTAGGCCTTTGGAACAGAAAGAACAAACTCTGGAGAGTCAGAGGTTAGGGAAGTATAAGTCCAGAGATGTTTTAGCTTCTCAGAGAAACTTGTGAAACAATACTGCCTCTCTCCCCTCTTACCCAGCACTTTTATTTCTTGAACTGTAATATTTTGGTGGAGGTTTTTTCCTGATGCTCACATGCTTGTCATGTGATGAACACCCTGGCTTTGGAGGGCTGCGATATTAACATGCAGAGAGTGGAATAGTCATTTAGGCCTTGGCATCGCAGCTAAGCAGGGTACGTGTCAATCTGAATGAGGGAAGTTTAGAAATTTCAGGAGGGTGCTTTTGTCCTCTTGTAATCCTCCCCGGTAGCTAGAAAGTGCCCACACTTGCTTGGCCGTTGCTAGAGAAGGGAGGCCTGCAGGAGGCCCTGGCCCACTAGGGATGAACACCACAGGAGGGAGACAGATGGACAGGCAAGAGATTGGGGAGGATCTTCCATTCCTTCCTCCCATTCTACCAAAGAATCTAAACACCCACTGACCCCAACACACCGATACAGCTCCCGCTGTTATTAAAATTGGTATTTTTAGGCAATTTTTAAGTCACATTCCAGCTGTTTTTAAAAAGTAATATTTCTTATTATAAGTAATATGTAGTCACTGTAGTAGAAAAGTGAGAAACTATAGAGAAGAAAAAAATAAAACTAGCACTTAAGACCGGGAATTGAACCAGTGACCCCAACTGAGCCACAATGGCAGGCTGAATTATAACATTTTACAATCGCTAACTAGCACTTTATTCTGCCCTCCTCTCCAAAAGTCTCATTGAAATAAAAAGAATTAGAAGCTCAGAGAAAATGCTAGTAAGCCTGGGATGCCAGCACCTGGGGGCACATATTAAAAATGTTGTTCTTGCTCTAGCTGGTTTGGCTCAGGGGATGGAGTGTCAACCTGTGGACTGAAGGGTCCCAGGTTCGATTCCGGTCAAGAGTACATGCCTGGGTTGCTGGCTTGGTTTCCAGTGGGGGGCATGCAGGAGGCAGCTGATCAATGATTCTCTTTCATCATTGATGTTTTTATCTCTCTCTCTCCCCCTCCCTGAAATCAATAAAAATATATATTTTTAAAAAACCTTTGGTTTTTTCTATAAGACACAGTGTTGGTTCTTTCTATAAGACACAGTGTTGGAGAGACTTCATTGAACTTTCATTGATAAATTCTTCATCTTGAAAAATAATAATAAATCCAGAATGTTGCTTAACACCTTCTCACGCCCCACCAACCCCCCATCAAAACCATGAACTGGAAGATGTGAGCATTGAAGCCATTGATGGGGAGCAAACCTAGATCTTGGCTCACTTCTCAGGCCCCTTTGTTGGGCGTCCCCCTCCACTCTGTTCAATGGGATGTTGGGTTTCGTCGGGGCTCCGTGGCATCAATTACCATCTATCTATGACGTTCCAAATGTGAATCTCAGCCCGCTCACTGCCACCACCGCCTCCTGTGCACATGAGAATGCAGCAGCCTGTTAAGTCAGCAAGAGGGAGAGGGGTACAAGTCCTTCTTTTACTATCTCGTAGGTCTGCTGGTAATGTCAAATACGTCAACAAGCGTGGCTTACCCTTACTACAGTTCTCCAGCATCTAAAAGCATTTCTGCCTTCCAAGATAAAATTCTCCCTTTGATCAACAGCCTTTGGCTAAGAACATTCCTTTCCGTTTCAGGTGGAATTCTCTTACCCGCCCCTGATTCCAGGAGATGGACACGACAGCCCCACCATCCCTGAGGAATGGAAGTACCTGCCCTTCCTGGCCCTGCCCGATGGCGCACACAACTACCAGGAAGGTACGCACACTGGCGGGGGGGCGGTTGGTGACATTTTTTTAATTTGACAAGACATCTTAGACGCCAAGTTCTTTGTAAATGAAATGCCTTTGGCCCTAGCCGGTTGGACTCAGTGGATAGAGTGTCAACCCCCGGAGGGAAGGATCTCGGGTTCCATTCCAGTCAAGAGCACGTACCTACCATTGCAGGCTTGATCCCTGGCCTGCCCCAGTCACACTTGTCAGGTCACATTTTGGAGGCAACCAATCAATGTGTCTGTGTGTCTCTCTCCCATTGATATTTCTCTCTCTCTGTCTCTCTCCTCCCTTCCACTCTCTCTAAAAAGCAATGAAAAATATCCTCATGTGAGGATTAACAAACAAACAAATAAATGAATGAATGAAAGGACCAGTCGCTCATTCAGCCTGCTGTTCAGTCGTTTGGTAAAAAGAAAAAGAGGAAAAAGAAAGGACGGTTGATGGTGCTTATTTATAAAATGTTTCAGAGCTGGTTGGAGCTGACTGCTCATGCTCTAGGATCTAAGGATCTCCAGCTGAGGGCCAGGCTTGCATTATAACGGTTGGTGAACCTTGGCTTCGCCCGCCAGGAACCTGGCCAAAGTGAGTGATTAGCCAGACGAGGACGTTCACTGCTAGTAGCACTTCCTGCCTTTGAACCTCAGACTCCTCTTGAGCAGACTACGGCCTCAGCTGCACCAGCAGACCGCCTGGGGCTCTGCCTGCAGACGTACACTGTCAGTGCCTGGTGCCCACCTGGAAACGGCCGGCACTGAGTCTCCATCCTCGCGGCCACTGGCATCACAGCGCTCCACCTGAAAGCTTGCCTGCAGGGTGCAGACCAGGCACCACCCCGGAGAGCACCGCTGTGAGGTCAGCGCTGCCTCCTACCGCCATAAGGCGTGCTCTGACAGGCTTAACGAAGAACTACATGTTTTCATGTGGTAGAGGCTCTGCCAAAAGACCAGGTTGAACTTAGTTGGATTAACTGCTTAATTTTTGATGAAATGGAGCAAATGTTACTTATGCAGGTACATAAACTTCAAATATCACATTTTAACCTTGCAGATGTTTTTAAAAAATATATTTTATTGATTTTTTACAGAGAGGAAGGGAGAGGGATAGAGAGTTAGAAACATTAATGAGAGAGAAACATGGATCAGCTGCCTCCTGCACACCCTCCACTGGGGATGTGCCCACAACCAAGGTACATTCCACAACCAAGGAATCAAACCTGGGTTCCTTCAGTCTGCAGGGCGACGCTCTATCCACTGAGCCAAACTGGTTAGGGCCTTACAGATGTTTTTATCCCAATTTTTTGTATTATAAATACTTTTAAACATGCAGAAAAGTTGAAAGACGAGTGTAGCGAATATCCCACAGTGTCCTTTGTATTTGTGTTGGTGCCCAGTTTTGCCTGTACCACTTGAAAGTCAGTTGTAAATATCATGACACCTTAGCCTTTGTTACTTTAGCATGCGTCTCCAAGAATAAGGTCCTTCCCAGGATAATCAATATCAGTATCACAGCCAAGAGATTTGTCAGTAAGTCCATAACGCCACTTAATACCCAGGCTGTGTTCAGGCTTCCCCAGGCGTGCAGGCGTTTCTGGTAAAAAATCATGCATTGCTTTTAGTTTTTCAGTTCTCTGTTTTGTTTTGATCTGGAAGAAGCCTGTACAGATCAGGTATTTTCTGAGCTAAGTGACCGTAGTCCCGGTGAGACCTGCTCTGATTCAGCTTCCCGTGCTTTGGTGATGGGTGTGTGCCTGCAGGCCGAGAGAGGGGTTCTCACAGCCAGTGGTGATGATGCTGAAAGCTAGTGCGTGCGGGTTCCTGGTACAGTCTTGTTTGTAATGACTGCATTACAGTAACTTCAGTGTCATCATTCACTCATAAGGGCAGTCACTTCAGTATCTGCCTTTTTCTGTGTGTCTCTTAGATACTGTGTTTTTTCACCTGCCACCCCGAAATGGAAACGGAGCCACCGTGTATGGCATCTCTTGCTATCGGCAGATTGAAGCCAAGGTGAGACACTTACAGTGAACAACAACAACAACAAAAAAAAACCTTGAAAATTCTTTCTTAAATATTGCCCACCCAGAATGTAATATTGATATTTGGGGACGTGCATCTGTGGGACCTGTGATATTGTTTTACATTTTTATAAACGGTGTGTAACTGTTTGCCCAACAGTAACAATTTATTCACATACATGTCTTTGTGAGTTGATACGGTGATTATAATTATAATTGTATTGTGTCATATTTTGCACATTGTTTTCAGATAGTGATACCAAACTTAGTCCTTTGTCTGCAAAATACTGTGTTTAAATTTCAGTGTCCTTGAACTTTTTCCAATTCTAGTGTTTGGTGTATAGCTTAGAGAAATGGAGTGGTAATGAGTGTCTTTTGTTTTTTGTTTTTTGAAGCAGCATTTTAGAAGTAGTAGAAAGCTCTTACAGTAGCTCCAAACTACTTGCCAGATCTTAGTTATCGATGACTATGATTTTGATAATTCTTAAACTACTTGCCAGCTTAATAGCTCTAATTAATAAATTCACATACACTAAGGTGGGCAGCTTCCCCTTTTATGGTTTGCTTCTGAAACAGCACTGGCTTTTTTTGCAGGAGGGCTATTCTGTATGGTAGCTTTGTGCATTTGATTTCTTCATATACTGTTACCCTTACACTCTTTCCTGTGAGATGAATTGAGCTACTGTCCTTTCTGGGAAGTCTGTTCCTTTACTCCCTCTTATCCCCTACAGTTTTATCAACAGTTCCCATGCTCTGCGTAACCTTTAGGTGGCATTTCATACTGCCTGTCTCCCTCCTCACTCCCCCCGCCCCCGGTGTGACCCACGCCAGAGTATATTGGGGCTGCCCTTTTCTCCACGTTTTTCTAGCCTCTTCGGGTAACCAGACAGATAAGCCAGATAGCAGAGGGGCCCAGAGCCTGAGAGAAGGACTTGAATCCCCTCTGAATGAGGGGGGACCTGATGAATGAATCCAAGCAAGGTGGAGAGGGAGAAACATGGAGGAAGGGCTCCCCACCCGACTTCATGCAGCCACTAGTCTGCAGCCCGCTGGGGGCAGGAAGCTCCTTGGTCCTCAGGACAGATGCCAGGGGCTGTCAGGCGGCGTACTAGGGAGGGAGAGTCACTCTTACTGCCCACCTAGCCCCCCCTGCAGCTGACCTGATCAGGCTGTTTTCTGCTAGGGGACAGCAGGAGAAAGCCCTCACGTAACCCTCGGAATCATGGAGGCATGTGACACTGCTCAGAGCTGGCTGCAATACCAGCCTAGGACAGCCACCTTCACCAAGCTGTTTTGTCGTCTCTTAAACTATCTCCTTCTCACCAGAAACGGTGCCTCCGAAAGAGCAACCCATTTTACCACCAGAACAAGGATGGCTGATTGGCATTGAGCGTGGCAACTTGCACATAAAGCATTCTCCGTCAGACTAAATTCCTGATAATAGAGACTGTCTCTCACTGTTCCCTTCGCCTCCCATATTCCAGCACGCAGTGCCCGGCCGACGGGTCCAAGGAATATTTTCTGAGATTCTCAATAAATACTTCTTGCATGCAATTAAGCAAATGCAAGGAATGTTTTCTATCTCCTTGCTATGTTTATGTTGAAGAGGAATTATTTTTAAGTATTTCTAACAGTGACTATTTGTGACAGGCTTTGAAAGTCCGGCATGCAGATGTCACCAGAGAGACCGTGCAGAAAAGCGTCTGTGTTCTAAGCAAGCTGGTAAGAAACCAGATCTCGCCCTGTGAACGTGGTTGTTAAACTCTCCTGACAGATTCCCACTCGGGGATCTGCATTATTAGTCTAAGGACAGATCCAGAAGACATATTCACATTCTCCAGTGACTCAGTATCTAGGCTCTCGCAGCCCCTCGTTCTCTTTGCCCTTCAGCAGCTTCATGCTCATTTGCCCTCCACCCAAAGCGAGGTCAGAGAAGGAGATCTAACAGATAGGTTGTGGGGAAGGTGGGGACACATGATCGAAATGTGCATTTCATTTATACATTTTTGTTTTGTTCCCAAGACTTTGAATAAATAACATTTTACTAAAATTCAAAGTACTATAATCATATTCAGATTTTATTGATGATACTAGAAGTGCATGACCCTTTTATGATGAAGTCGTAGCCTTAACTTGCTCTTTACAAACTGAAAATGTTTGAGGAAGGGAAGTGCATAATGAAATGCACTATGACAGCGCTTTAAATTGCTTCTTCTGTGTACAAGTTGATCAGTTGCAAGTGTATCATCATTTTAACTACATTTTTTAAAAGGAATATGTAACATTTATTTTTCTGTATCTCTCTACATTAAATCATGTGTAATGTTCAACTTTTATTACTAATAATAACACCTTTACCAATAACACCAGATACCTAAGCCTACATGTAATATATAATACCCAAACCTCCTTTGTGGGGAAATCCAGATCTCTATCGTGTTAATTACCTTAGCTCTATATGATTACTAAATACGGATGTTTCTGCCATTAACCTAAACCAAAGATGAGAATATTTTATTAGTCTAGTCATTAAATGTATGTAGATTTTGTTTAATTATTTTGTCTGCGATTATCCAATTTCTTATACCCACAGACAATTTAAATGTAGTTTGTTTAAGATAAGTTGAGTTTTGCAAGAGATAATTTATTTTGGTTTTTATTACTAAGTTCAAAAACTAAGTTCAGAAAATATCTGAATAATAATAATTTAATACTTACTGGCCTTAACATTAAGGTTTTGAGGATCAGAATATTTCTCACAAGACAGTAATTTTATGAATAGAGCAAGAATAGTCAAAAGAATGATTGTACATATCAGGAAATTGGTAGATTGCAAATCTGATCCGTGTACAGATATTAGAAGGGTGGCCTGAAAAATATACATCTGTGAAATACTTTTTTTATATTGGGTCACATGACCCAAGAAAAGAAAGCATAGGAGCACTAGATACTAAAGCAAATGCAAGGTGTTGAAAAGCTTACTCAGTAATCATTCTTCAGAGAACAGATATAATGAAAATAAATGTCATTTATCTATTACCTATGTGTCAGGTATTAATTCTATACCACACACTTTTTGGATATAATTGTCATTTTAATCCTCATAACAATTGTGAGCTATAAGTATTTACTGTTCTCATTTTACAAGTAAAGATATGTTTCAGAGAAAAAGGTGTCCCTCGTGGACATAGAGCTACTAAGTGGTAAAACTGGGCCTGAAAATCCGTCCCGTCTCTAACCAGGCTTGGGGCGTGGGGAGAGCTAGCGCACACTAAGGGGTCGGTGGTTCACAGTGCATTGTAGTCTAAGGATTCAAATATGCTGGCTTTATGCTCTGATGGTAATAATGATACAGTAACAGGAATACTGGGAGTAGTGGGGGAACTATTCTAGTGTTACCTGCCTTAATTAATTAAAAAAATATGCAGTATTGGTCTCTGCATCCTAAAAAGAAAATAGATATCAGAAAACATCTAGAAAAGAACATTACGAATAAAAGAATGGAAGTGGTAAGAGAGGGTCTTAAATAGGAAAATTAAGAACTAAGGAATAACTTTGTTCAAGTATATAGAAAAATGTTATGATAGAGGACACAGACTAGTTGTAAGCCTCGACAGAAGACAGAAAACGGAAATTGAATTACGCATGTTCAACTAGCTATAAGCACTGGCTGCTTCAAGGACAGTTAAACGTCTCCACAAGCCAGCAGAACCATGTGCAGTATTAGGCGATGGTTTGAATTATGATAATAATAGCCAACATCTCGGTCCTTCCTGGGTGCCCAATTCTCTACTAAGTGCTTCCCCCTGGTTGTTCAATTCTGAAAGCAACTCCTGAAGATGCTGTCTTTTCAGGCACCCAGGCTCACAGCAGCAAGCAGGGATGCAGGGGGAAGTGCCCGGTTACACAGCTGAGTGATGGGGGACCAGGAGGTCGGTGCCCACACTCAACCACTGCCCGCTGAGTGGGCACCGCACCGTCAGCTGCAGCCAGGGAGCTAGAGGAGGGAGGTCAGGGCTCTCAGTGAATAGGACCCTGACGCTGAGAGTTACTAACTTCCTCCTTCCTGTTCTCTTCCAGTTGAGAGGCTGTGGGGTGTTTGTATTTTTACTCTCACCATACTAATGGCAGTTTTCTTTGTTTTTTCCTTGAAGCCTCTCTATGGCTTGCTTCAAGCAAAACTTCAGCTCATTACACATGCATATTTTGAAGAGAAGGATTTTTCCCAAATTTCCATTCTAAAGGTAAATTTGTACCCCTCTACAGATGTGTTTGGCCGCGGACACATTGATGAATCGAGTAAATCCTGTCAGTAATATTGTGAAAGATGATCACTTACTACCTTAAGAAAGACATTATCGTTCTTTGAAAATAACATTGAAAAGATAGGGAACTGCCCAAAACGTACAGTTCATACTTATTGTATGTAACCAAAATGCCTTTTATTAGGAAATAATGCAAATGACTGCAACTAACATAAATGTTTCTATTAATAAAAGGGTAAGAGCCCTTTTGCTATGGCATTGTTTCTCCAAATCTGCTTGTCTTATTAATATCCTGCTCAGTATGCTATATATCAGGCTTCTGGCTCCTAACCCCCATTGCAAACCCCTGGAAAACTACGTGACTATTTTATTGAAATGAAGAGCATGTTTTTCTCAAGGCTGCCGTGAATAGGTAGAACATGGGTCTCTCAGAGATTCTGGTGAGAGTAGGACAGTTAGGTATTTAGCAAGGAAGTAGGGGGAATTTATCCAGGAGTCCTTCGCACCATGTGAATGAATCAAGGTCTAAAGTGTAGAGGCAAAGATGGAAAAAGTGCTGGCAAGGCAAGTCTTCAGAGAGACCCTGATTGTTTCTATTGTAAATTTAGGGCCTGGTCCTAGCCAGTTTATCTCTGTGGGTAGAGCATCCGCCTGTGGACTGAAGGGTCCAGGTTCAGTTGTGGTCAAGGGCACATACCCGGGTTGCAGGCTCAATCCTCAGTAGGGGACATGCCAGAGGCAGCTGATCAATGATTCTCTGTCATCATTGATGTTTCTCTCTCTCTCTCCCTCTCCCTTCCTCTCTGAAATCAATAAAAATATATTTAAAAATAAAAATAAGTTTAGGGCCTGGCAAAACAAACTTCCCCAACTAACGAAGCAGTTTCTTCCCGATCATCATGGTTCCAATTCAGTGCCCAGAGTGTCTAACGGAATGTGTACTTCGTAGGAACTCTACGAACACATGAACAGTTCCTTGGGAGGAGCGCCACTGGAGGGGTCCCAAGTGTATCTCGGTGAGTGGCTTTCTGACAGGTGGGGAGAAACGCCCTCACTTCTCTTTGTTTGGGGCACAGAATTAGGTGCATGTGAAACTTCATGATCAGAATTACATTTCTATATGGACCTAAACTCTTCAACGTTTGATGCTGCTGCTTCCTTACATATCTTCTTAGCCGGTATTTATATTGGCAAAGGTATAATAGACCTTTTTTTTTGGCACTCTTTCAGGTGTCCCTATTTTCCCCACCTTTGCCCACTCCACCCAGCCCCTATTCCCCTTCCCTCCAGTCATCACCATTGTTGTCTGTGTCCAGGGGCTGTGCATACATGCTCTTTGGCTAATCCCTTCACCCTCTTTCATCTAGTCCCTCACGCCCCCTCCCCTCTGACAGCTGTCAGTCTGATCCATGGATCCGTGCCTCTGTTTCTGTTTTATTCATCAGTTTATTTTGCTCATTAGTATAACATACCTATACCAATATTCACAACTATTACTGTTTAAGGACATTTCTGGTTTTCAGAATAATAATGGAAGTTTTTTTCTTTTTCTTACATTACTACAAATACTGGTCAATTCCATGGTATAACAGAGAGGGAGGGCAAGAGAGAGATCTGCTTAGTGCTTTTCTGTTTTAAGGTTTTCCAAGTTGGGTTGTTGTTTTTTTAATTTGCTCTATTTGACAACCCAGAATCTGCATTGGTGTCCATGGTACTCAGTGGGCACTCAGTAAGTATCCTTTTCATGATTAAAACAAAAGTGATTTATGCCCACTCAATTCCTATTTCAGCATGAAGTCTTCACTTTTGTAATCCTGTGTGCTACAAAAGCTGGTTACAAAATTTCTATTCCGAAAACATATTTCTTTCTAAATTATTTTCTTTTCCTCTGACAAATAATCAGAGAAAACTGTGACTCAGAAATAATAGCCTGTGGAGTGGAGTGACCTAAAAAGCATGTTTAAATGATTGATTGCCACCTTAGTACCAGCTTTATAATCTCTAAGCTTGTGTCACTTCCAAGATGTTTGTTTGTAGAATGGGGGAAAGTGTTAGAGCTACGCTGTCCATAGCAGTGTTCACTAGTGATGTGACTATTTACATTTAACTTCTTTTTTTATTTTTTAATTGTTTTGGGAGAGAGGAGCATAAATAATTAGTTGTTCTAATTATTTATGTATTCATTGGTTGGTTTTTTTGTATTTGCTCTGCCTGAGGATCATACCTGAGCATCCGGCCAGGGCATGACTATTTACATTATATTAGACTTAATACAAATTAAATAAAATTTAAAGGTTAGTTTGCCAATTCCACTTGGCACATTTCGAGGGCTCCGTGGCCACTGGATTGGGCAACCCCGATTTAGGATACTTCCATCACTGCAGATAGTTCTTCCTTTTCATCGTTGCAGTGCTGTGTTTGACTGTTAGTAATCTGATGAATTCTGAGTCCATGTATATGTGATCAAATACTGTATAATATTTCAATAATAGCATATTCCTAGTTTTGTTTTTACCTGACTTTCCTTTGAGGAGAAAAAACTTTTCCGATAAAAACAGCAGGCTGTAGTCACAGATCCGCTTTTCTGTTATCTGTGTAGGTCTGTCGCCTCGGGATCTTGTGCTTCATTTTCGACACAAGGTATGCACTTACCTCTGCTGTCCTAAAAGGTGTTCATTTAACTGGGCAGATTCCATGTGCTGCGCGGTCAAATGCAGACTGTGGCACAGCCACGTTTCGGTTCTTAATCTAAGACATCTCTCGTGATGACATGAGCCGGAAGTTCTGGTAATGCTTGTATGAGAGAAATTTCTGAACATGTACAGATACTGTCTGTGATATAGGAGAGAGTACTTTTTTCCATTGTCTTTGTAATTTCTGCTACCATGAAGTTAGAGTGGGAAGACACATGTTTCAATCTTGCAGAATATTTTATTTGTTGCCTTAAGAGTGAAACATTTTCCAGTAGAATTTCTATGTGTATTACTTCTGATCTTAGTACAGAAGCATGTGTTGGCTAGGGGGCGTTGATCATTCACTTAACAAGCATTTACTGAGTATCTGTTGGGTGAATGCTCTGGACATATCTATAATAACCTATAATAATAAAAGGGTAATATGCTAATTAGCCTGGATGTCTTCTGGACATCATTCTGGATGTCCTTCCTGACAAAGCCGGGGTCCTGGGTGCCTGTGGGTGACCCCAGGGAAGCCAACCAGGGTCCTAGGTACCTGCCGGCAGCTGGGGGAGGGATGCCCAGGTCCTGGGTTTTGGGTCCTTGGGTGTCAGAGGGAAGCTGGTGCCTGTAACTGGGTGAAGGAAGGCCTACTCTTGCATGGATTTTCTTGCATCAGGCTTCTAGTTCCGAAATAAATGAGTAGTTCCCAGCCTTTAAGGAGTTTGCAATATTTCAAGCAAAAATGGCACAACTCCTTCCAAAAACACAATTTGTTAGAGATTTAAGTGCTTTTCACACTTTTTAGAGGACACAGATAATATTTAATTTTTTAGTATAAATTCATGATTTTCAATGTAATTTTTAAAGCACTGTAATTATTTTAATATTGATGAGATGATATATGGTATCTTTGCAGACAGGAAGAGGCAAATAAATAATAGGCTTGCATTTCTTATTTTAATACAGTGTTTCTTTTTTTGTTTAGGTCTTAATTCTGTTTAAATTAATTCTTCTTGAAAAAAAGGTGAGATTGGGTGGGATGGAATATTTAACATTTATTGACATTTCTTAAATATTATATACAATTAAAACTAATGATAAAGTATAATTTTTTTGCATATCAAATTATGATGAGCTAAAGCCCACATTTTAATTTATTTATTCTTTTCTTTTCTCTTTCTCTCTTTCTTTCTTTTTTCTTTTGAAGCCCATATTCCTGTCCACTGCCATAGAAGCATAAGTTTATGTGCTCTTTTTTGAGGAGACAGTTATATATATATAACCAAAATACCATTTTCAGATTCAAGAAATGTAACATTAATACAATCAATGATACCTAATATTGAAGTCCATTTTTAAATTTCCACATGTCATAATAATATCCTATAAACTGTTTTTTTTTAATATATTGTATTGATTTTTCACAGAGAGGAAGGGAGAGGGATAGAGAGTTAGAAATATCTATGAGAGAGAAACATTGATTAGCTGCCTCTTGCACAGCCCCCACTACGGATGTGCCCGAAACTGAGGTACATGCCCTGGACTGGAATCGAACCTGGGACCCTTCAGTCTGCAGGCTGACGCTCTATCCACTGAGCCTAACCAGTCAGGGCTGGTTGTTGTTTTTTAAAATCTGAGGACCAAAGTGGTGGTGTGTCTTCAGGGTACCACTTCAAGGGGCCCATAGCTGTACTATTATTATTTAAATCTTGATTGTTGAAAGTATTACATATGTTCCCTTTTTCCCCCATTGACCCCTTCTAGCCCACCCTCACTCCCTCCCCAGGCCTTCACACACTATTGTCTGTGTCCATGGGTTATGCATATGTGTGCATACCAGGCCTTTGGTTGATCTCTTCCCACCCACCTCCTGTACGATTATTGATGATGTGAATTGTTTGACTAAGATGGTGGTTGCCAGATTTCTTCATAGTAAGGCACTTGGTTTTCCCTTTACAATTAATAGGTTATCTATGGGATGGTAAGTTTGAATCTATGTGAATATCCTGTTGCCCAGCAACCCTTCACAATAGTTTTTTTTTTTTTTTAAGTATATTTTATTGATTTTTTACAGAGAGGAAGGGAGAGAGATAGAAAGCTAGAAACGTCGATGAGAGAGAAACATCGACCAGCTGCCTCATGCACACCCTCTACCGGGGATGTACCCGCAACCAATGTACATGCCCTTGACCGGAATTGAACCTGGGACCCTTCAGTCCGCAGACCGATGCTCTACCACTGAGCCAAACCAGCTTCGGCCCTTCACAATAGTTTTAACGTCCGCTGGTAATTTTTATCTGGTGGTTTTTCTAATTCTGTCATTAATTAACTATTATTCTTTTGTAAAGAAGAGCTTTCTTCTCTCTTTCCCCCTCTTTTTTTTCTTTTCTTTTTTTTTTTTTTTTTTTAATATCATTGTGGACTCTGATTTTCTAATTGGATTATCATTGAATCCATTTCAGGTTCTCTTTTATATTTCTCCAGTGAATAAACTGGTGGGTGCCCTGATGACCGTGTTATCCCTTTTTCCAGGTAAGAAGGTAACAGTATCTACTCTTCCTGTTGGTTAGCTTGTGCTGGAACTTTCAGTGGTAAAGGTGTTCAAGGATAAACTCATCAGGGTTAACATTCCTAGTTTAATATGACATTTTGTTTTGGCAATAGTTTTTGTGTGTGTGTGTGTGTGTGTGTGTATGTGTGTTGTCTGACATTTTCATTATTTTTCATTGGAATGTATGCAAGCATAGCTTTTAACATTTTTATAGGAGAGTCCTGCTGCTTAGAATAGCATACACAACTCTTCCTCACTTCCTCCTCATTATAAACTAAGTTGTCCTCCCATCTTTCCTGTTCCAGGCATGATCGAACATGGTCTCAGGGACTGTTCTCAGTACAAACCTCGGAAGAGTATGTCTGAAGATGCTGGGCTTCAGGAAAACAACCCCCCTGCAGATGATTTTGTTTCTGTGTCTGCTCCTAACATCACTTGTACCAACTCAGAAACTGCCAAGAAAACCCTGACGGGAAACCACGATGGAGATGCTGCCATCGCAACGGAAGAACCTTTGTTCCCAGCAGAGAACAGCAGCAAAGGGCTGGGACCCAGCGAGACCAGCCCGTATTTGAAACCTCCTTCTCGTCCATCTCCAGAGTCTTCAGAAAGTGACTGGGAGACCTTGGATCCCAGTATCTTAGAGGAAAGGGACCAGGTGGGGTCAGAACAGACAAACTCGTTTCCCAGGGAGTCGGTGCCCTCAGACAGCGCTCCGATTACTGTCCAACCTCAAGCCAACATGGGCCAGGTGGTCCTGCTCCCGGGGCTGATTTCCGGTTTGGAAGAGGACCAGTATGGCATGCCCCTGGCCATCTTCACAAAGGTAAAGTGTAACGTCCTTAGTCCTTAAAGGCTGACCGCATCCTTTTGGAACTTAGCTTTTTGTGCTGCACGCGTTTTCAGATCGGAAAATTTTCCTTGAAAACTAAAACACGTACCAAATGTGTACTGTGGTGGCATCTGTGACTATACTTGAAAGACTATAAGGAATTCATTCAGGCGGTTTCAATTGGGAAGAATTTGGAATCTTAGTAAATATGAGGTCAGCCATCACTGAGTGGGGTCTGCTTGTAATCATTCAGGTTTATCTTCGAAAAAAAGATGAATTGAGAAACTCTAGACAGAGTTCTTTTAAAATATTTTTAATGATTTTAGAGAAGGAGAGAGAGAGAGAGAGAGTAAGAGAGAAAGAAACATCAATGATGAGAGAGAATCATTGATCGGCTGCCTCCTGCATGTCCCCTACTAGGGATTCAGCCCATAACCCAGGCAAGTGCCCTTGACCAGAACCCTTCAGTCTATAGGCCAGTGCTCTAGCCATTAAACTAAACCAGCTAGGGCTAGACAGTCTTGATTACACTTAATGAATATATATCAAATACTACAATTCCAAAAGCTATAATCCTATAAGGAAAAACTGCATAGTGGCTAACTTAAACAGTACACCTCACAGATTTAGTGTTTTGGTTAACTTGCCCATAAAATTATGTTTTAATCTTTGTATGAAAAACCATTCAAAATGTATTTGAAATTTTTATTTATTATTTCTTTTTGCAATTTTTTAAATAACCAGGGGGCAGATGCTCAATGCAGGAGCTGCCCCCAGCCTGCAGGCCCCAGACCAGCCAAGGCAGGTTCGAGCAGGGCCTCCCCCCCAACCCCCCCATCCCACCCCACCCCCCGCCAATCACCCTGCCAGTCACCCCACTGAGGGAGGCGACCAGTGGCAGGAAATAGGGCTAGCAAGCGGGCAGCACCAGGCCAGTCAAGGTGGGTGCCAACAGGAGCCCCCCCAACCCCCCACCCCGATTGCCCTGCTGGTTGCCCCACAGATCAGCCCTGATAGCTGCCCAGACCTAGGGCCCTATCTGTGCATGAATTTCCTGCACTGGGCCTCAAGTATATATATAAAAGCCTGGCCTGCGGGGATCAGGCCAAAACTGGCCAGCTCTCTGGTCTGTTTCTGCAGGAGGAGCAGGGGTCTTTTCCGCCTTCAGTCACGAGAGTGCTTGGGTTGAGAAACACTGTGCTAAGTATCTCTGATGCATAGACGTGGGTTTCCTTTTGCTGCTGTTAGTTAGCATTTTATCAAGCAGAAGATGAGATTGTCAAGTCTAAGAAAAACCAAGTTACTAGGCCCGTATTCCGACTTCTGGAAGCCTCTCCCACAGCAGGCAATTCAGCATCCACCTGGGAGGCCCAAGGCGCATCCTAGCTGCAGAGGAGAACCCGCAGCAGCAAAAGGCACAGGAAGCTCCTGCCCTCCCAGTCTCGTCTGGTGACGTAAACAACACAGCTTCCCGGGAACGGTTCGGTGTTTTTAGAAAAGGGATGAGAAGTTTTAAAATAATCAAATAAAACTGTCACAGAACTTGAGATTGCAAACAGCTCCAGGGTTTCCGCAAGCCCGCCTTCCTGCCTTCATTCACAAATCGTGTCACCTGTTGACAGTCCATCTCATGTGGAATCTTTCGGCAGAGATTCCCTGTCCTCCTCAGCTTCAGTCCAGTGTCAACCCCTTCATTGTCAGGAGATACGCTGCTTTTTGTACACTTTCTGCCTGCTGTGGTTTGGCAGTTCAGTTGTAATTTTTAGGGCAGTGAAATTTTCAAATACAATTCAAATGGAAGTTAACTAAATACTCAAGTACTGCCAACTATCATTTTTGCTTCCAGCATGTAGGAGCAAATATCTTGAAATATTTTTGCATAATTTTTAACAAAAAGACAGTAAAACAGGAAATTGAGTGCTGTGTGCTTCTCATACTAATGCATCAGAGATTTTGTGCAGAGGCAGGTGTAAAATCTTACTAGACGAGCTAACAGCTTTCTGGTAAACAACATGCTTGTGAATGGGCTTCATATTTCAGTTCCTAAGTGAAAAAGTCCAGCTTGATAGTTACTGTGGAGGCTTTTAAGTTGAACCGAGAATAAGTGGAGGAAGACAGCCTTCATGTTAGATGACCTTGCCAAGGTCGACCTTACCCTTAGCTCTCTGGGCATGAAGAGGGAGGTGATTATTCCATTGCTTTTCTAATATTCTGTGTTACTCTTGCGATTCCTAGGGATATCTGTGTTTGCCTTACATGGCATTGCAGCAGCATCACCTTCTCTCGGATGTCACCGTTCGGGGATTTGTTGCTGGAGCTACTAACATCCTTTTTCGGCAACAGAAGCACCTCAGTGATGCCATCGTGGAAGTAGGTTTATGTCTGAGTGTCCTTGGTGCTGCTGGGCCCTGGGATCCTTTCTGATTTGGAATGAGGAAGGCAGAGTCACCTACACTAATAAAAGAGAAAGATGCAAATTGGCCCGTACCTTCGTGATGCCCACCGGCCAATCAGGAGTGGGTATGCAAATTAACCCAGCAAAGATGGAAGGTTACTTTGCATACACAGGCTCTAGCAGTGGGGGCAGGACACTTACGTTATTGCCATGATGATGATGCAGTCGGTCCACACCACCCCAGCCACTCTGGGCAGCCTGGGAAGGTGGAAAGGCAGCTATGGCCGGAGCAAAGGCGCTGCCAGCAGCCAGGGGAAGGCAGGCCCATTCTTGCACGAATCTTCATGCATCGGGCCTCTAGTAACTAATAACGGTGCTAACTGCTCCCTGCGCCAGCCAGGCATTCTGAGCGCCACAGGTATATTAACTGATGTAATTTGCATGACAACCTATGTGGTACATACTGTTACCGTCCCTATTTGATACCTGTGGGGATGGAGCCTGCAGCCCCAGCATGTGCCCGGACCAGAATCCATCCGGGCCCTCCTGGTGCACAGATGGATGCTCAACCACTGAGCCACCCCATCCAGGCCAGCGGTTGCCTTGGGACCACGTGAGAGCCGCACTGACTCGTGCCTGTGTGCCCCGCAGGTGGAAGAGGCGCTGATCCAGGTCCAGGACCCCGAGCTGAGGAAGCTGCTCAGCCCCACCACGGCCGACCTCAGGTTCGCCGACTACCTGGTGAAGCACGTGACCGAAAACCGCGATGACATCTTCCTGGACGGCACGGGCTGGGAGGGGGGCGACGAGTGGATCCGAGCGCAGTTCGCGGTCTACATCCACGCGCTGCTGGCCGCCACGCTGCAGCCAGGTGAGGGGCGTGCAGCCACTTCCCCATTCTGTCACGGCCTGAATGGTGTACGCCGTGCAATCTCACTGTAGCCAGGGGAGCAGGGAAACAGTCACTCCTCTGTGAAACCTGCCTCATTCCCCACAGGAACAAAAAGGTACAGAAAGACCTCGTGGAGCCCGGGAACGAGCTCTCGCACCATGGACACCCAGGCCATGGTCGACAGATTTTGCTGTCATTGTTGTTCAAAGCGTTGAGCTTTTGTTTTGTTCCCCTCGCCACCTTTATTTCTGCCTCTGCTTTTAAAATATATATATTTTATTGATTTTTTTTTACAGAGAGGAAGGGAAAAGGATAGAGAGTTAGAAACATCGATGAGAGAGAAACATCAGTCCGCTGCTTCCTGCACACCCCCTCCTGGGGATGTGCCTGCAACCAAGGTACATGCCCTTGACCAGAATCGAACCTGGGACCCTTGAGTCCACGGGCCAACGCTCTATCCACTGCTTTTGTTCTTAATTGTGAAATACACATAATCTAAAATGTCCTAGCCCAGCCATGTCTAAGGGTGTTCTTCCGTGGCATGACATACATTCATACCGTCATGTCAGCAGGCTGTTTAAATCAGCCACCGGCCACCACCACCACTGCCGCCTAAGTTCCCTCCTCTCAGAGTGTGTGTGTGGAGTTTCCCCCCAGGTTCCTGCGTGCTCTTCACTGGAAAGGAAGCTTCGCAGCAAGTTTGTATTTGTTAGTGGGATGTTTTTAAACGTCTGCCTCTTCTTAATTGAATTCCCAAGTACTCAGCACCTGAGACTCCCAAATCCAGGCCTGTAACCCAGGATCATGCAGGAATCTAGTAAGAAAACCCCAGTCCCCACCAATCATGTAGCTTCGTGAGTGATTCATTCACCTTTAAATAACATTTGCCCAGGTAGCTGCAAGAACGGACTGGTAGGAGCGAGCTTTCTTTTTTTAAGGGGGGGGGGGGGCACATTATAATGTGCAGGGAACTGTGTTGAGCTCTTTACACCTACCTACCCCCACATCACCCTCACAGCAGTCCTGGGCACATACCTTGTCATCCTCAACTCTACAGAGGAGCAGGTGAGGCACAGGAAGGTGATTTCAGCAGCTCGCTCACCCCTGGCAAGAGGCTGAGCTGGTATTACAGCCCCATCGCCCGGCTCAGCTCCCGCTGTAAGGGGCCTGCAGCCCTGTGCCGTTTGGGGACTATGTTCTGAAAAGAACTCCCCGTGCCGCACGTGGAACTGTGTGCACCTTTCCCTTCCTTCCCCAGCAGCAAACATCACCTTTCACCCTCAGAGCAGGCAGCTTGCAATTAAATATGAAGCAATGGCCGCTGGAGTTCGTTCTTCAGCCCTTTTCCATTCCTCCAGGCAGCAGAAATGCCTGCACTGAAACTCCCCCACGATCCTGATAAAGCCTAATCGTTTTAAACATTACATACACAAATGCCCTTGTTGTGTTAAGTATCCTGAGTGCAAAATGCATGGACACTCTGGAGTGAGTTTCACCAGATAGCGAGACAGAACCCAAAGAAGAGAAAATCATGCCTAAAAGAACCAATTCGTGTTCTTAGGAACAGTGACATGACATTGTGCCCAGATAAAAGATGCCCTGCTTGCCTCCTCCCTATGTAAGCATCAGAACATTGGCTCACCGGCCGGCCTGTCGTTTGTTTAATAAACACTGTGCCTCCTGACCTTGGGTAGAAGAACAGGACCATCTTGGCATTGTAAGGAGCCTCAGACAAGCTCTGGGCCCGCCCCCTTTTCCAGTTAGGGAAATGACATTCTCCCTCCAGGACTAAGTGACTTGCCAAAGACCACATAGCCCCTGCACAGGATGTTTGGAGCTAGACCTAACTTCCTGGCATCTAGTAGATCCCCAGGGAGCCAGGGGGGGGGAGGGGTGTTAGGGGGTGGAACTATTCCTTTACCCTTTTTGGTTGTTCATCTTCTCACCCCTGACCAGCTGGCTACAGGCAGCTCAGCTTTTGCACGTTTACTTGACAGATAACGAAAAGGTGCTCGCGGACTACGGGACAGCCTTCGTGATGGCATGGAAGAACACTCACAACTACAGGGTCTGGAACAGCAACCGGCACCCGGCACTCGCGGAAATCAATCCGAAGTAAGCACCTCCTCCAAGACTCAGAGGTAGAGCACAGAGCGGTTCCTTCATTGCCCAGTACAAAGGAAACCCTATCCCACCTGGCCAGTTTGCTCATTGGTTACAGCATTGGCCCAAGCTCTGAAGGGTTCAGTTTTGGTCAAAGTATGTATCTTGGTTGCAGGCTCCATCCCTGGCCCCAGTCTGTGCACATGCAGGAGGCAACCAACCGATGTGTCTCTCTCTCACAGTCAGTCAGTCAGTCAGTTGCTATGAGCTCACTGACCATGGGGGACAGATGCTCAGCATACAGGATCGGGCTCCCTCCTGTCTGGATCAGGCCTGCAGGGATTGGGCCAAAACCAGCTATCCGACATCCCCCCGAAGGGTCTTGGATTGCAAGAGGGTGCAGGGCAGGCCGAGGGACTCCACCGGTGCACAAATCCATGCACTAGGCCTCTAGTGTATATATATTTATTGATTTCAGAGAGGAAGGGAGAGGGGGAAAGAGATAGAAACATCAGTGATGAGAATCATTGAACGGCTGCTTCCTATACATTCTCTTTGGGGATTGAGCCCGTAACCCCGGGCATATGCCCTTGACTGGAATCAAACAGGACCCTTCAATCCTCAGGCCAATGCTCTATCCACTGAGCCATACCGGCTAGGGTTCTGGGAGCTTTCTAAAAAATGTTAATGCTTGGGCCCCACACCAACCAAATAAATCAACATCACTAACACAACCCTCCCACTCCCAGCCTAGAAAAAACACCTATTTCCTGTGGAGGGAATGGGCTCAGAGGCTCCCCTCACTGCAGGCAGGGAGCTGGGGTCCAAGCCCCCGGGTGTTACACTGAAAGTGTCTCCCCTGTGAGGCTCCCTGATGCTTCCTGGGGTGACTGCTCTGTGTCTTTCCCGCCGGGCCCCTCAGGTTCAAACCGGAACTTTGTTTTACAGCCACCCTTTCCAGGGCCAGTACTCGGTATCCGACATGAGGCTTCGGTTCTCACAGTGAGTATTTCGAGCAGAACACCAGGACGGCTCTGCCGTCTGAGCCTGTGCCATGTGTGCCGTGGCTAATTGGGAGTTGTTTTCTGCACTCGGTAGACTTGGGCTCCAAATAGTAACCAAACACACGCCTGGCAGCCCGCAGCTCAGCAGCGGGTGCGTCTCAGAGCGAAAACACTGCTGTCTCCCGGAGACTGGTGTGAGCAAAGCGCCGGGTTTGCCATTTTTATCCGGAAGTAACTCTGGCAAGTCCTGTCGGGAGAGTTAGTCATTCATCTGCATGCTGTTTCTTTTTAGTATTTTACTGAAAACGCACATGCTTCATTAAATTAATTGATGGATAACAACGATTTAGTTTCTTTTCTCAATAATACTCATTTGGGGGATGGTGATAGAGTGATGTGTGTGTGTGAGCGAGGAGGTTGATTTAAGTTGTGTGTAACACGTCTTTTCTTCTCTCAGTTCTGTTCAAAACAGTGAACGTGGCAAGAAAATTGGAAACGTCATGGTCTCCACCAGCCGGAATGTGGTCCAGACAGGAAAAGCCGTTGGTAAGGCACCCTTTGGCCAGGAATAGGCTGCGATGATAACTCACCGCTGTGCTCTCAGTATGTTGTTGATAAAAATATAAAGTTGTAGAGGTCTGAGTATCACATAATAATACAAATAATTCCCATAGTCAAATACAGGGGTTTGTTTGTTGTTGGGTTTTTTGTTTTTTAATTTTGGTCTTATTTGTTTAAAAAAATGTCATGGCACCAGATAATATCAGAGTTAAGCAAATTTTGCCACATCTGATGGGGAGTGACAGGTTTTCTGATGAGTTCACTCTTCTGCTACCAGGATGCAAGCGTCAGTGGAGTTTCCCCCCAGCTCTGCCCATAGTCCTTTATAAAGAGTAGAGAGGGACATCACTACAGACATTACAAAAATTAAAGGACTTTTGTGAATAACTTTATGCCAATTTTTTGACAACTTAGATAAAATATACAAATTCTTTTGGAAGACTCAATTGAAATAGTCTTATCGATCAGTGAAATAAGAAATAGAAAATCTGGCCCTCACCAGTTTGGCTCAGTGGATAGAGCATCGGCCTGGGGACTGAACAGTCCCAGGTTCGATTCCAATCAAGGTCACATGTCCTGGTTGTGGGCTCCATCCATGATTCTCTCTCATCATTGATATTTCCGTCTCTTCTTCTCCTTTCTTCTCTGAAATTAATAAAAATATATTTTAAAAAGAAAATCTGACTAGTCCTATTGCCTTTTAAATAAATGGAATTAATATTAAAAAACTTGCTGCAAGGTTTTTAATTTAATTCAGGCCCACATGGCTTTACCTACAAGTCTCCTCAAACATTTGAGGAATTATATTGACTTTCTACAAACCCTTTCGAAAAGTGGTGGATGAGGCAATACCCTTTGGTCCACAGGCCAACACACTATCCACTGAGCCAAACCAGCGAGGGCAGCAAGGGATTGTTTTGAAACTAGAAATCTAAATGGCATGCTAGTCATCGTTACCATATTGATGCCTTACTGTGAATTGACATTTATCCATCAGCATCGGTCCTTCTTTTAGGGCCTCTTAACAGAAGTGAAGACGCTTTTCCTTTTGTTTCTCCCTCCTTCCCATCCAGGCCAGTCGGTGGGAGGAGCTCTTTCCAGCGCAAAGACAGCCATGTCCTCTTGGCTTTCCACCTTCACCGGCTCCACCCCGCAGAGCCTCCCGGAGCCGCCCGGGAAGCCCTGAGCAGGCCCAGCGGCGGCTGGCGCTCCCCCAGTTGGAAGGGTCCCCTGTCTGAGCTGCTCCCAGGCTGTTCTCCATCAGCCACAGGCCCACGGCGGGGACCACACGTCACACTGTTTACATGGATGGTCGCGGTCGCCCTCTGTCTGAGTGAATGTCACAGGATGCCGGAAAGATGCAACCACAGCCACAGCAGGGATGGCCCTCCAGGCTGGAGTTTGAATCGGCTGCTTCCATTTCAGTCTGAGCCTGATGCAAACACGCCGGGCCCCTGCTAACGGCATCTCCCGTTCTGACCGCGTACACTTGTTTACTTTAGGAAAGCTTTTACGTATGTACATTTTGTTCTGTTTGGCTATTTGAATAGTTGGATGATCATTGTAATTTATTAGTGTTAAAATTGTTGTAATAATATTTTAATTTCTCTTAACGTTGGCCCTAAAATATGCTTATAAAGTTAAGGGCCTGTACTGCCCAGTCCTTGGTTCCTATTATTTTTTGCTGAGTTCTATGACGATAGTTTTCTACCAACAAACTATCAATCCTCTTCCTCCCGGAAAGGTGAAAATATGGGAGTGGGTTCCGAGGATGCTTGTTGGCTCCCTGTGTGCTGTGTTCTTGCCCAGCCCGAACCCTGGCGCCGAGGCCCAAGGCGTGCCGGGTGCTTTCCTTCTCTCCCGATCGTCCGGGCAGCTGTGCGGAGGAGGAGCAGCCGCGGGACGGGCCCCGTGGGGTTGGAGCAGCTGAACACAAATCCGTATTTAGGGCAAGACTTTGGAAAACCTAGGTGTTTGTTCTGCCGACTCTAGTCATGTTGTAACCTCGTTCACGCATTTTTTACCCTGAGGTGTGTGCCTTCTATTTCGTCTTTTGAACAGTTCTCCATTGAGTGTTTACAGACCTGACGCTTTTTCCTTAGTCTTATTCTTCGTAAGCTTTTCGAAGCTTTCCTACTTGGCTTTCCTACTTCCCTGGTGGAAAATCCTGGAATCGAGCCCATCGAAAGAGAATTTTTAAAGGGAAAGCAAGATGATCTGTAAATAGTAAATAGAAATCTCAACTTAGCTCACATTGAGGAAAGCAAGAAGCAGGACAAGAAAACCATGGCCGTGACATCAGTCCTGCTTCATACAAGGACACCTGGTTTCATTTCAGATATGTGCACGTGTGTGCCGCGTGCTGCAGAGTTTTACACACCTGGACTTCATGTCTGCCATGCTCAGCTCTCGTTTGCTTTCCGTGGGGACATGGGATGGGTGTTCTCAGGGAGTACGTACTGGGGACAGACTGCTTTTTCAATAACAAAGGATACTTGGAAAATACGTAGTGAGCATAACCTACATATGATACAAATATAAAGAGTAGTGGGAAAAGGAGGGGGCCTAATGAAGGATGGCACTTAACCCTTAGGAAAGGTTTATGCCGTGGAAGTCCTCCTAGGGCATGTGAAATGGTCAAAGGACATAATCCGAATGTCCCTAAACTTTCCAGTTTGTGTTTCAACACAAGTTCAGCAAGTCTAAAAGCATTCTTCCATTTGACGTGGGCTGATGAACACACAATGCAATATACAGGTGATGTATTGTAGAGTTGTACACTTGAAACCTATAGGATTTTATTAACCAATGTCACCCCAGTAGATGCAATACAAATTTTAAAAATAAAGTGTTTCATTAAAAAAAAAAAATTCAGTGATGATAATTTAAAGGGCTTATTGTGAACACTCCATTAATTCCACTTCTGCTAGGAAAGTTTACCTTCTCAGGAAATAGCACTTGAAGAGAAGTAAAACCAACCAACCCTTAACAGGTACTTTAATCAGCTATGAAGAATCCCTCCTCACGTCACATCTTGTTTCACAAGGCTGCACCATTGGTTGGAGAGACAGGGTATTAGTGAGGCTTTTTCCCTCCCAACGGCCGGAAACTCACCGGGAGGAGCCTCGTAGCTGCAGACTCATCCTCACTCTGTATGGTTTGTGTGACTGGGCTCAATTCCCACCTCTTGCTCTTCAAAAGCGGCCAGCCACCTTGGGGATCCCACTGGAATAAAGAGAGCCACATGGAGTCTACCTTTGCTCCAGTACCACGTGCTCCCCATTTAACATCCACCTTCAGTGAACTTTCTGTTCGTGTTTCCAGTTAAGAGTTCAGAGTGGCCATTTCACGAGCTTCCGACATAAAATGAGTTTTGCAGAGGATAGAACTGTTGTCGTAGAAACGGTCAAAAGACGGTCCTCTTTTCTTCGGGTTCTCGGGGTACGGGGGTTTTCAGGGAGGCCGTACGCTGTGGGCAGGGCCTGGGGCAGGCAGCACAGCTGACGGCAGGGAGCCTGGCCACTCGTCCGTGCTTAGGGCTCGGGCTGCAGGCTCCGGCCAGAAGCAGTGACCTCCCTTCGGCCACTGGCTCTGTGAGCCATAGGGGCCGACCCCAGGCCGTCTTCCGGACCTGTCGCCGGGAAGGGTGTGTGTTTGGGTTTGTTTGGGTTGGCCGCGCTTGCTCTGGTCCTTTTGTGTCTTAAGAACCGAGGGTGTGTGAGGAGGCCCGAGGGAACTCGGCCAGCCAGGCCGCTGCCAGCTGTGCCAGCACACAGGCCACATCTGTAGCTTGGTGGTGGCCTCACTGTCCGTCTAGGTGACTGCGTAGTGGTGTTCGGGGCAAGTCCCTGGCATGCTTTGATTCCTGCGAGGCACTGTGATGGCAGTGACATAGGCAGGGAAAATAGGTTAAAGCGACTGTGTCTCGGACTAGGTGAGCAGGGAACGTTGCATGGAAGGCTTAGAATTACTTGGCATTTGCATTCGGTTCTTAATAACGAGTATGAATAGTCTGTTTCCAAATCCATTAGTGATCTGTCAGCCCACATGCCTTAAACCAATCCCCATCTCCTTTTTTGCTTTAAGAAGCATGGCAGCTGTCAAGCTGGTGTGGCTCAGTGGTTGAGCGGAGACCTGTAAACCAGGAGGTCACGGTTGCATTCCAGTCAGGGCACATGCCCAGGTTGCCAGCTAGATCCCCAATAGGGAGCGTGCGGGAGGCAGCCAATCAGTGAATCTCTCATCATTGATGTTTCTCTCCCTCTCTGAAGTCAATTAAAATATATTTTAAAAAAGAAACATGGCAGCAACATCTTTGGGCAGCAAACCAGACTGTATGGCGTGATTTCTACCACCTTCCCTTGCTTTCTGAGTTCTCTATTAAGCATTGAACTTTTTTTTTTTTGGAGAATAATTGAGTTTGTGGAAAGGCTAGGAGGAAAGCAAATTGGGAAGAGAAAGGAGAAGTGAGAAGTCTTTGCTAGGCTGAGGAGCAAGGAACTAAAATATCTGAATGGAAGTATTTTGAGAGCAATGTTTCCTACCTTAAAGGTTATAAGAATTCTTTTATAGAGAAGTTAACACCTTAACCTGCTGGTGACGAGTTTAAAAGGAAGCTGTAAGGTTATCTTCCTGGCAGGCAGGTTGTGTGTTGGTTTTGTGTTTTGTGGAAGTTACAGCCAGTGGTCCTGCTCCGTCCTGGCGGGGTGATGCATGGGGGGGGGGGGGGGGGGGGGGCGCGGAACCTCAGCTCTGTACGAGGCCAGCGGATGATCCCCAACCTCATGCATCACTTCAGCAGTGTGGGAAAGCGGCCTGTGCAGACGATAGCTGCTACATGGTGCCTGCTATTTTATCGGGGGCTTGGTCGGGACTTGGAATGGCATCCACATGTGAATGTTTCCATACCCCGCTGCTTTGGCCGGAGGCGGCTCTGCGTGCGTGGCCTTTCCCCCAGTTCTGTGGCCGCCTTTCCCTTTCCGTGGGACAGAGACCACAGCCTGGTTTCTGGAAGGCGGTGGCCGTGCCTTGGAGTGCAAGGTGCCGCTGGCAGGTTTCTCACCGCAAGTCTCTGAACTTCCTGAACTGTCTTTTCATCATTTCCAGCATTCCATGCATAGCTGTCAAGGACAAGGGAAAGGGATGTAGATTTTTGTTCTTTCCATGTAAATAGCTCTGTACATGTGACTTCCCGCTTTCATACGGAGACAAAACGAGGTCCCTTGTATTGTAACTCCAAACTTAAAAGGTTTGCACGTATAAGGGGTTGAATATATTTTGTAAAACTAATGCATTTGTATTTCTGTGCTGTTCTACAGTTTACCTTTTTACTTCTATTAATTAAAGATATAGAGACTATATATTTAAATCACATAAATGGGACACAATTTAGGGGGTTTTCCAATCTTATTTTTCATCCGCTTCTCACACACACAGTATGCTGCTCAAACTTTGTGTGTGTGTGTGTGTGTGTGTGTGTGTGTGTGTGTGTGTAATAGGAACATTTGAACATTTCAGTCAGGTACTGAGCCAGAGAAGGTAATTGAAGTTTTTAGAAAGCTTCTGTGCTTAGAACATACTGTGTTTGCTTGAAACATGAATGACTTGTAGCTGGAAAAATAGGATTAAGACTTACCTGTTTCAGGGCACTCAGTCATGGGCTCCTACATGTAGGAAGCTTTTGATGAACAAGTTGGTAAAGAGTCAAATGCTCACAAAAATAGTTTCAAGATTTGAGAGTCCAGGCTTCCCACAAACCCTTTCTAGGGAAGTTTAGCTTAGAAATCTTAGAAAGTTTTCCAAGGAGGTTTAGCTGTGGCACGTGTTTGATCCAAAAGGTAGCTTATTCTCTTCACTCCAGTGAGATTTATCATTTGTAGCACTTCTTTGTTTCTATTGTCATTTATTTAAAAATGTTAAAAATTATAAATCATATCTAATCATAAGGAATTGTAAACTCCCTACTGTATCTTTATTTTAAAGAAAAATGAGAATAAAATGATCCAGTTTGTCTTGCATACAGTCGTGCTGACCTGTCTTTCGAGAAGTCCCCTTCCCGTGGTGGGTGAGGGGGGCTCTGGCCTGCTTCCCCATTGGACAGCAGCGCCAGCTTCCGGAGGAGGCAGCATACGGAATGGCCCAGAGGACCCGAGGCTGATCCCAGTGCCCTGTGCACATTTCTCAGGTATACACATGGGACTATGAACACCCTCCCACCAGCATGGCCTCAGAAAGCCATTGCTCCACGTGGTCTCCAAAGCTTTGGTATCACCAGGAATTATTATTTTTTTTTTTTAGTTGATTTTTACAGAGAGGAAGAGAGGGATAGGGAGTTAGAAATATCAATGAGAGAGAGACATCGATCAGCTGCCTCTTGCACACCCGCTACTGGGGATGTGCCCGCAACCAAGATACATGCCCTTGACCAGAATCAAACCTGGAACCACTGAGTCCGCAGGCCAACGTTCTATCCACTGAGCAAAACCAGCTAGGGCTATTTTTCATTCTTTATATTAACCACGAAATCAAATGAATTTCTAGCAGATGTGCAAGCTTTGGAGGATCACAATACAATGAACGCTTTCCACCCACTCAGGATGGTCCTCTCATTCTCTGAGTTATGCAAGGGACAGGAAGAGGAGACAAGACACGCAGAGAGCACACCTCAGTCACCTCCTCAGGC